TTTATTTTTTTATCTCAAGTTCAAATAGTCTTATCCTTCTACGTTGTTAGACAGAATTTTTTTCTCTTTATTGTTCATTGCTTATTGTTTTTGCATTATTTATTATTGTAATTTGATTTTTTATTAGCTTATAAATTGACTTAATGTCTTGCTTATTACCCTTTTAATAATTATTAATAGATATAAAAAAATTATTCTTGAAATTTAATGTTTTTTTACACTATTATCCTCTTACTCGGATCTCTTTCATCATTTAAATCTATTAATAATATGTTTGAGTATTATTTGATAATTTTATTTATTATTTTTAATAGATTTAAAAATAAAAATATCCTCGCACTATCTCTATTTTCCTCTTTATACATTCTCTTCCTTACTAAGAAATTTTAATTAGCTTTTTACATAAATATTTTACCTATACTAAAAATAATATCTTATTTTATTTTAAAAAATATAACTTTAAATTAGTCTAAAAATTACTCCATCTGCTTCAATTTAGATGGCACATTTCTCTTATCGACAATCAATTTGACTAAATTTTGAAGCTAAATTAAATTAGTTCAAGTTAGTATTTTAAAATTAAACTTTAGATATACAAAACTACACGAAAAGTACTATAAGTTATAATTTTTCTCATGTCAATATGGTAACAAAATATATTTAAAATGTCGGTCAAACTTCATGCAATTTGAATCTTGATAGGCGAAATGGGTCATCTGAATTGAAATAAAGGGAAAAATACATAGGTTTTTTTATAATGTTTCAAATCTATTGAATTTTATAGTAATTTTTTGTATTATGTGCATTTATTTTGTATTTTCTTTTAGTTTCAAGATACAAATTTGGATTTTGATTTTCATTAGTGAAATTACCTACATGAGATATTTATTTATTATATCTAAAATTTTAATTTAGTATCAATTTGTAGTTTCTTTATCTAGCAAAACTATTTTGTGGTCATATCCGTATTTTGAGCGTACCCATCATAACTTTAAGATCTTTCTAATCTCAAGTTCAAAGAGAATTTTTCTTTTATTTTCGATATAAATTTTTTTGAATTTTAATTAGTTTTCTTACTTTTGCTATAATGTTATCTAATATGTAATATTATCACGTTTTGATATGATCTTTTTTAACTTTTCACTTTATTTAATATTTTTATCCGCTACTATTTTTAATATAATATAGATAAATATGTAATTTTTATATTAAATTAGATAAATTTTTATTTTTATAAATATTGATTGAAATTCTTATATTATTGAAACTTATCAATAATATTTTTAAGTATTGTATATTTACTTTATTTTATTTTCGAAAGTAATTCTTAGTAGAAATATCCTCACATTATCTCTAATTTATTTTATTATTCAATATTTTTAATTTTTTTCTTTATTTGTTAGACTTTAGTTATGTGTCCTTATATACATGCATGTCTTTTGTTATCATACTTAAACAAAACTTTCTCATCTCAAATTTATCCTTTTTCTTTTGCATGATGAAATTTTTGATTTTTTTTCTCTATATGTTCCTTAGTTTTAGCCTAATATTAAGCTTGACTACCCTATATATAT